AAGCTTAGAGAATACCACAATACTTAGAAAAATGTAAGTACGTTATGGTAGCGATGTAAAGCAAACAGAAATAACAAGGGAAAGCAAAAAGTGAAAACATGTGAAATATTTCTCAAAAACAAATTAACGATTCAGCCTTTACACAAGTTATGATAGATTTAGCAGAGCGTAAAGTCAACAAAATATAGTAGATTGATAAACAGAGAGTGATAACCAATGTCTTAATATCTTGGAGAAAATATTTCCTTAAGTGTTTCTAGGAATAGTCATATAACTCGGTAAATTAGTCGCATTTGTTAATTAAATCAGTTTAATCGGTGAAGCTGAACAAAATCACTGAGCGAATAGAGAAAGTGCAAATCCCTTCATGGCTACAGAGCATATATATCTAAACAAGTCATCTACTGATGATAAAATAGATGATCACACTGAGAAATTGTCGAGCATTGACTCCATCGTAAATAATTTCACTTAATGAAACATCTTAACCTAACTAAAAAGCAGTAAATTATTAGGACTATAATTTAAATTCAGATTGTACAGTTTAGAATTTAGAGTTATATCGACACTATTCCTAACATAACAGATAAACTAACGATACAATATAATATCATTCCTATACTAAAATCCATTATTCTAACTATAACACTAAATTCCTAAATCCTACATCATAATCCAAAACCTTAATCTTAACTTGAACTACAAACCTAAGTTCTATAATCTTAAAAATAATCACAGAGTCTAAACAGTAGTCCTAACAATCTACTGTTTAATTCCTACACTCCGCATCTTAATCTGAAATTATAGTCTTGGCATGATAAATCATTCATTTATTTTTGCTGTCTTCTGACTGAATAAAAAGGGCTTCGATCCAAATGTCACCCATTGGTATAGTTTCGTCTTATTGTTTAATCTTAAGATACGTATAATTTGTGTTCATACATTAAGTAGTTGATTGAACAGTATCATGTGTTATTAGGTTTAATTTATTGTAAAGTTGACCAAAAATCTGTATCAATAAAACATTTAGAAAATAATGTATTCAGACAGAGTTATAAAGTAATGTTTAAGTGAACAATAACTATTTAACTGTAACTTTTGACAAGTATAGACAAGTATAACAAGAGCAGACGGAAATGAAAAAGTAGTATGCTCAAAGTCTAATGAAATCCAAAAAGGAGTGTGAAACGGTTAATGTATGTGTCCTGTTACAATTGATTTTTAGTCAAGTTGTCAAGTTTACACAATCGTTGTTTACAATCATTTCTTAAATGTAATTTAGTCAATGTACGGTTATTTCGTTCAAATTGGCTTGTATAGCTACATTACGTAACCAGACAATAGTAGGGTAAGATAGTTCATAGTACATTTAACTATTTTAAACGTCTTAGTTGAATTAATTTCATTTTCATTAAATAACATCATCATTTTTGTTGAAAACTCTTTGCAAAACCATATCGGTGATAGTGTGTAAGAAAGTGCTGCACTTCTGTTTGACACGTTTTATCCCCCTCCTTTCAATGCTTCAAACAACAATCGATGAATAAACATTCCAAGCAGTAACCGAATAATCGTTTTTCAAAGTTCATCATGAGATCTGGAAACCATAAATTGATTCCTGTATGAAGACATATGTGAATGAAAACTACCGAAGAATCCAAAATCATGAAGAAAAGGTTATAGAACTGTGAAACCTTCATAGAAAGGATTATGGTATCAGGATTTCCAGTTAGTCTACGGTAAATTCTATTTACAAATGATTGAGGCGACGCAACAAAAAGACCGAATGTCTGTTGTAAGACAACACTTCAATGTTAGTAATCCACACTCTAACAGGGAATATAAGACTTTCTGGATAACTCTATACGCATTACAAAAGGAGTAAACGTGCATTATAGTAACATCCAATAATGTAGCGGTACATTACAAGGTTAAAAAACTGTAAGCGACAACAACCAATCAGGTAACAGCAAATATTATGGCAGAAATGTGAAGTAAAAAAACGTCACCGAAGTTATCCTTCAAAGAAAGAACTAACATGTAATAACCAAAAAAACTACATAACCTGATCTCTTCTTAATAAAAACATTCTGTGGGCTCCAACGATTATCGAGCAATCAAACCTTGACAAAAAAATAAACTTTAAAATACACATACATTTTCATACAGAAATGCAGTTTGATTTACTTAAAACAGCCGAAAATAAAATTACTTTCATTCGAAACAGAAAAAAACAATTTGTGAAAACGATAAATTTAAATTATTACTACTATTAATACATTTCCGATCTACTTCAGACATATTTTGTGTCATATATACCAATCAGTCAAAACTACAGATAATAGCAGATTCAAAAATTAATCAATAGTATCATCATCAATAGTATTTTACCTGTCATGTAAATGCTTAATGATAACTGGAGAGTTATAAAAGTATCAACATTTGAAAAGCAAAGTGACGTGTCACAATCTACATCACAACGTTTTCTTATTTAGACAACCATTGAAAACCATAAAGCACTGGATAACTGTTTTTTCTTAGTAAAAGAAGGTGTGATAAATGAACTGAATACCAACCCATAGTATTGGAAGACGGTTGTAAGCTTAAATGCAAACCGTTGAGTGCCAACCCAGTTGTTTAAAGGTAAAACCTGAATGTCCTGGGTTCGATCATCAGTGGAATCGTAGACCAACAATGTCGCTGAAGAATCCCATATTGGGATAAAACAGCTGTTCATTGCCTTCTGCTTTTCAATGGCTATCTCTTTAACATCAATCCATAATAGAAATTGTGAAGCCGAATATTCTATACAAACTGCTTATAGTGAATATATATACAAATATTTCACAACATCCCGTGAGGTAAAAAGAAAAAAAGATTTATTATTACCCGGTAACTAATATTGCTCACCACGTGTAATTTCAATGTTAGCCAAAGAACCATTTTTTTAGATTAGTGGTTTCTAAAGATTTGTTTCATATGGTGTTGTGGCGACAAGAAGAATAAGAAAGAGTGACAAACTTTGAAAGTTATAATTTGAGACGTCAGTACTTTTATTTCTTAGTTCATATGATTTACATATAGATTGACTGTTGCCATATCTTTTTCTGTTCCAAAATCATTGTAAATTGATCATAAACTTAGTAATACAATTTGTAACCTAAATAGCCCATTTTGGTTCATATTATAGATTCTTATTTAAAGAGCGTTGTGGTCTAGTTATAAATGAATTTAATTATGTGAATTTTCGAATTCAAGAAACAGAAGTTAGTAAGAGTGTCTTATTCACATATAATTGAGTCTTAGGAAAAAAAATCCTCCGTAACCAGTGAGCAAGTGGGTGTCGGATCGTCTTGTGAATCTATTAGCATAACTACAAGGTCTAATCAACAGTAAGTAGCCTTATCGAGTCCTAGAGGGTTACATGGTAATAATCAAGTAATATGACATACCAATTGAGTGGAATCCATAAGATAGCATATGCGTTACATGTAAGAGCAATTTTTATGAAAAATATACATCAGCCAGAGGTTCATTAAAGAATAAGGTCAATCGAGCTTACTCGTCATGGTTGGGTATAAACTTTATGAATATAGTGGATGAAGACTTTGTGGGAAAAACTAATTTATTCTGCAACACAAAATTACAGACTGCATTCGTAAAATATGAAAAGCATACGCTAAATATGTATCAATGCCAAAGTTGAACTTGGCAGTCTTAAATAAATTGAGCACTAGGTAGAAATTTACATATATATATATATCCTAATGAGTAAAAAAATTGTATTTCTGATGTTTCATGACCTAATGTAAGTCATTTTTCAGAGTTAATAAATAAAAAGTACAATTTAAACCTGTTTTAATTTAATTCCGTTATTTATTTACTCTGAAGAATAGCTTATGTCAAGTCAATAAACGTCAGAAATACATTTTTTCTACTCATTAGGATATAACAAAAAATGCATACATTCATTACGCACAGTAAAATAGATTATTTGTACATCTTCCTCGAGTTTTCCTTTATATACTTAATGATTCTTTCAATTCTCTTGTTATTATAATTGCTCGTCGTTTAACCTTACTGTTCTCTTCAATTCAATCTTATGTTGGCAGGCATTACATCTATCATACAGCTCAGATTGTCTGCCAATTACTCAAAAACATCAACACATATTACACGATCAAAGAAAAATGGAACTTTGGTCATTGACTCATCAAAAATGTCGATACCATTTTAAGAAGTATGTAGGAAGAAAAATAAAGAGATATGACAGCTGAAAATTAAATAACGTATAAGAGTACGAAAACACGTCCAGAATTTGAAGCAGTAAAACGCTTGAATCCTTTTTGGTTTACAAAAATATTTTTGGTTATATAAATATTTATCATGTTAGGTGGTTGGGAGTTGTCGACAATAAATCCTAAACAATGATTTGTGCTAGTTTTTATTCGTTAATGTTAACAAAGCTCAGTGATACTATTTCAGACTGTGAAACTGGTACTTAAAATCGTATTTCACAGAGTGCATCAATTTACTTATGAATCTAGGTACACCCTGCTAAAGAATATCTACTAACACAAAGTCAAGATTCAGAATTTCCTGCCAACTTCTTGTAACGACCCAAAACTCAAATAGACTGCACAGAATATCATGGATTGATTGAAGTGTGAATTCTGCACTGCTAGATCTCGGTTCAGTGATCTAGAAGTTAGGCGTTCGTGAGCGAAATCAAATGTCCTGGTTTGGACTCCTGGTTGCAGGGTCATGAAAGAACACTGCTGAAGAGCCCTATACTGGGAAAAACGGTCGTTTAGAGCCTCAAACTTCACAATAGCTGTCTAACTTAGATTAGTTTGTGATTTCAATGAAATATCGAGTTACTTAGAGTAGTGGGTATATTGCAATTCAAACAGTAAAATTCGATCGAAACTAAGGATTAGACAAGCATAACACTGGTTGCTGATTGGCGACTAATATATACATATATAATTTGCACTCACTTTATTGACAGCAAATAAACAATCCAACAATGTTAAGTGATAGGTAGATGCACCAAAAGAGGCATCTCTAAAAAAGATTAGGAAATATTTGTACAATTAATTAAAAGACAGAGAGATTGTAAAATAAAAAAGCAATAAAATGAATAGTTATAGTCAAGATTACCACAAATTTAATTTCGTGTTCTTTATCTCTAGTCAAAACATGCAGAATACCAACTTAAGAGCGAAATTGACGGAAAATCGCTCTTCATCTCGTCATTTAATCTCACAAAATAGTGATTAGCAAACTTCATCATTTTTGTACACTATTAAACTTAATTGAATTGTTAATTTATTCAAATCAGTTGAATTTAAGAATAGTTCATAACATAAAACAGATTATTATCAGAAGGGGTTTTTTCTGAAGATTGTAGTAATTTAGTGGTCGAGTTTATGAGTCATTTAAAGCTAGACCACCATGGAGAACCCGGAAGCACTAACCAGCCGCTTTGTCCTAGTATGGGACTCCTCAGCAGCGAGCATCCACGATCTCGCCACGGGATTCGAACGCAGGATCTTCGGTCTCGTGTGCGAGCACTAAATTCTAGACCGCTGAGCAAGTATCCAGGAAATACCTCTTGAAACCAGTACTTCCTGGAGTCCTAATGAGAAGCTTTGACCATTGGAGTTCAATCGGGTCTGTTGTGAGATAGTAACTCACTGAAGACAATGGTGGACGGTGGCGCAAAGTTGTGAATTCGTTGAAGTTAAACATTAACACCGCTGGATGCCAACCAGCTTAGTGGTCTACGGGTTAAGCGTCCGCGCACAAGACCGAAAGTCCTGCGTTCAAATTCCGCAGCGAGATCGTGGATTCTCGCTGCTGAGGAGTCCCATACTAGGACGAAGCGGCTGGTTAGTGCTTCCAGGTTCTTCATAGTGGTCTAGTTTTAATTGACACATGAACTCAACTATTAAATAACTCAGATTATCAAAAACTGCGATAATATAATCCACTTCAATATTTCTGACAAGTGAGTGATATTATAAGCAAATAAAAACATTATTACGTAATTATCAATTGTTACGAATAACTTTTAATCTAACTACTTGTCATCAACAGATCTTTTAATATAACATGCACAAATATTATTAATTAATTGGTTTTGTAGACTTGAACTCTGACCTTATATTTGTAGATTATGAGTATTGTTAACTGATGAATGAAAACTACTCATTGACCGGAACACCTTCAATTAAAAGCTTTGAATTTTTCATTGGAATTCGTATCCCCAAATCTGAATGTGTTCATTTATAATATGTAACAATGAAGTGATATTCGTAAAATTGCAAACGGTAGTTAATTTATTGAGCATAATCTTTCGATTAATTGTAGCAGATTATTTCAAAGTTCATAATAACCTTCTTCTCTTATTGTGTCCAACAGACTGTATAATATTTAATAAAGAGAATTTTACAGGTTTGTAAATTATCCTGAATTCAAATAGTTTCGATGATCTAACTGTAACAGCCGAGAAACTTTTTATATGAAATAAAAGTGTGTTTTTTTGCTTTAAAAGACAATTTGAGGTTTGACAATGAGTTACATAGGTAGTTTCTAACATTCCATAAATGTTCATTATTTTTCGAAGAAATTTAGAAATTAGTTCTTATTTTCTCAGAAAAGTTATATAATGTAATGTATCTTTAACTTTTTTAAATAACGATTTTACACAAAAGCATTCATGAGTAGTTAAGTTGTTCACTAGTGTGACTTAGGATTCAATGTGGTTTAACTTTCTAACACACATGACTCTTGTAAATGGTTCCCATTAGAAATTCACTAAGAAACTATTACCCTAAATAACTGAACCAAACTTCATCTTTCATCTATTCAAGAGATATCTTTCGCAAATTGTATGTTAAATTTCTTTTAGACACGTTCATACAGTCTTAGAGTTTATATTGTGAAAGCCAAATATGTCTCAGTATACTTCTGATAATCTATTCCCTAAATATGCTAATTGGTTATTCGATGATTGAACTATTTTTATCTGGCTAGCAAACAAATCAATCTACATCAAACAAAATAATCGCATGATAAACAAAAGACCTGTAAAATTTTTAATTAAATGTAAAACAATACAGATACTATATATTCAACTTAAATGAACTATTTTAACTCAAAAATAATATACTTCTTTAAACTTGCTTAAAAAAAACTTTTTGTGATTGAGATTTTTTTAAAAAGCGTCTCTCTGATACACATATATACGTGCTTCATATCTTGTTGTTCTGTATAAAGCGAATGATTTCAGTAGTATCAAAAAAAACCAACCTCAAAATACCGTTTGAAGTAATTAATAATAATCGATCTACTGAGTCTTATTATTTTCTTCATAAAGATCAAACCGATATATACATATATGCAATCAGTCAATAAGATTTCATTAGACTGCTTATTTTCTAAACCATTTTACAATCAAATCATTAGATTATTCAAATAATTCGAGACCTATGTAGTGTTCTTTTCAGTATCATGTAACATACATATACATGGTAATTTTCTTTGTATTATTACTCCTTCAGAATCAATATATGATGAACTTTCGTACATAAAAAATTTAATAATTAATAATAAGGTAAATATTGATGAATTATTGATCCGCCGAATTTTTAAATTTGAAAATAGAAACTGGAAATATGATAACTTCAATTGATTCGGTATAACTAGAATTAATTTATTTATTATTAATCTATTAAATGATCTACTTAAATTGAACTAATATCTAAACTTATGTCGTTCAAATAGTATCATCAACAATAAAATAATATTAGCTGAAATTCTAAAATTAAAAACATATAATTTTCCAACAAATAACGAAAACAAAAATGACAAATTCGATTGATTATTGTTGTGATTTAGGAGAAAGTAAAAATTTAGACTATTCAACTATAAGATATTTAGGTTGAAATGAATTAACAGAAAACATGTAAATAGATAAATGGCTGAAACAGCACAATAAATCTGTAAATGGTACGTGTTCAAATAAAGATTAATTAACTATCTTCATGCTGATGAATCTGATATCAATATAACTGATATTGTCAAAAATAAATAAGTGTAATGACAATTACAAATTTTCACCACAATGATCAATGATCTTTAGAAAATGTATATTTACCATACAAAATCCATGATGAATTTGTAAAATTAAGAACATGTGATGTTGTTAAATTCCATGAAAATATGTATACAAACATGAAATTATGTTTATATTATGGAGAAAATTTCATCTCGACTATTATGACAGAAATGACCACAATCAGTTACTAGTGGAGGTAAGGACATCAATTTAACTGCTATGCTAAGTTATATCATTCAACATTTATAAGTAATCATTATTACAACTTATTGTTTAAAGGAGAAAAACAATTTTTTCAGCGATTCATCAAAAATATGTCCAAAGTAAAAAGAAATGAATATCGTGAGAATAAATCCAATTGAGAAATCATGTACTAGTAATAGTGATAAAAAAATATTGCAGGTTACAATTTAAAATAAAAAGATAACGTTGATACAGAATGGTGATAGTTAGAATCTTATGGAAATTATTAACTATCTCAAGATTGTAGATTTATCTCCTTAACTTATCTTCTTATCAAATAAGAAATCTGTGTCCAAAGTATATTTCCTACTGCCTAACAACATTTAACACTGTTAAAACATATTTGATTTGCCTCAAAAAAAATTGTCTATAAGAAATAAAAGAGCCCGCTCGTCACCTGTGTGCTTTTATCATTCAGTTTCAATGAAAGCTTAATTGCATCTAAAACGAAAGCTGCTGGAGGTAAACCGTCTTAAGACTTCTAAAATCAATGTTTCAAAAATCTCATCAATATTTGTTAGAAAACTATTGCAATATCTCATCGTATATGTGAATCGGGCATTCGAATACACTATAAACCTTCAGTACAGACTGTGCCAATGTGAAGTTTGGCTTCTGAGGCCCATCTCATTTAAGGCATTGGTTAAAAGATAGTTAACAAAAAGCTCAATCTAGTCAAAAATTGTATCAGGATATAATATGAATTTTATGAAAAAGAACGGCTAGAAGGTACAAAAACTATGCATCAAAATCCAAGTTATACAAATGTTGATACTCGGGTTCATTTGGTTTATTATTATAATAAAAAGATAAACCACCTATGAGAAAAAAGTATATAACTTACAAAATCAAAGACACTTTATTTACTTTAGAGTATTCTGGTGAAACAAAAAAACATCTACTGATTGGAAGGACGAGGAGTATAGACAGACAACCGACTTCCAGTGAATGAGTTTCAAGTTATAAAACGTATAATTCTTATTGCGATGTCCATCAGAATAATCCTCGTTAATTACATATTTTTTAATACCAGAATAATCTCCACAAGGTTATTGAGTTACGTTGTTTTACTTTCATATACACATAAGTATTTTCACTGATCCAAGCTATTGCAAGTAGTATAACATTACAGTACTTTAAAATTCCAATGGTTTTAGGACGTTCTGTAGTTCAGTAAACTAATTCGCTCCATTTTTAACAGCCTACACTAAGATTTATTTTATGTGGATCAGATGAGTTTAAAAGGATTTTTTGGCAGACACAGCTGTTATTATATCATCTGACAGTTTAAGCCTAACCTTTGCATATAAAAACAACATGTCCAGTCACCCATTCTCCCATGATCTTAACCTCCATTTACATAATCCATAAATTTTTATTTTATTATTTTTACTTTTTTCTAGTTATTTTGAAATTATTAATTAGCATTTATTACGACATTTAATTAATTCAAGATAGCTATCGCCATCAGGATCCAAGCCTTGCCAAAATCTACTCAGAGAAGAAAATACTGTCGAAGACATTTAAAAATCGATTAAAGAAGCACTGACATCGACGTGTCGGGAGGTTCTGGGCCCCGAAAAGCATTATCATGAAAAATGGGTCTCTATCGAAATCCTCGTCAAGTATCAAGAAAGGAAGGATGAGAAGACAGCAATTAACAACAGATGAACAAGAACAGTCAAAGTCAAGCACAAGCTGAATATAAAGAAACAAACAAGCAAGTGAAAAAGAGCATTAGAGCTGACAAGCAGAAATACGTCGAAGACCTAGCAACAACAGGGGAAAATGCTGCAAGAGAAGGAAATATGAAACAACTACGTGATACTACGAAGAGGCTAGCAGATGAATATGGTAAACCAGAGTGATTAGTCAAAGTCAAAAAAGGTAATCCAATCACTGAGATTTAAGAACAGATGAGTAGAACACTTTTAGGAAATCTTGGATAAACCAGCTCCATGAATCTACCGGAAATCGAAGCAGCACACACAGACCTTCCTATAGATGTCACTCCAACGATCGAAGAAATCATCATATCTATCAGAAAAGTGGAGCGTGGAGGAAGCAGCAGGACCTGACTATACCAGATGAAGAAATGAAGTCAGACAATGAAGTACCTGCAAACATGCACCACATTCTATTCAGAAAGATTTGGAAGGAAGCACAACTGCCACTGACAAACTGGGAAGAAGGATAACTCATCAAAATGCCGAAGAAAGGAAATCTGAGCAAATGTGACAACAAAAGAGGCATCACAGTAAGGTCAGTACCAAGAAGGGTTTTCAACAGTGTTGCTGGACCGGATGGAAGACTCGGTATAAACCCAGCTTCGACATCAACAGGCCGGATTCCGTAAAGATCGGTTGTGTACAGACCAAATCGCGACACTAAGAATCATCGTTGAACAATCAATTGAATGGAATTAGTCACTATACATCAACTTACTTGACTATGAGAAAGCATTTGACACTGTGGATAGGAAAACCTTATGGAACCTTCTTCGACACTATAGTGTACCTGAGGAGATCGCCATTATCACCCGGAATTCATACAATGGACTACACTGCAAAGTCGTGCATGAGAGACAGCTGACAGATGCATTCCCAGTGAGGACTACAGACAGACAAGGTTGATTACTCTCTCTCTCTTCTTATTTCATCTGATAGTCGACTGGATTATGAAGACATCTATACCTCAGGGAAGGCACCGAATACAATGGACAGCTTGGATGCAGCTATATGATTTGGTCTTTGCAGATGGACTAACTCTTCTATCCCATACACATCAACAAATGTAGATGAAAACAACTAGTGTAGCAGCAGCCTCTGCATCAGTAGCCTCAACATATACGGGGGAAAAACCAGGATCCTCAAATACAACACGGAGAACACCAACCCAATCGCAGGTGTAGACACTCAATGTAGCAGCAGTAGGTTTAAACATATATAAGGGAAAAAGCAAGGTCCTAAAAAGCAACACAGAGCATCAACCAAATTACATTTGATGGAGCTCTGGACGAGTTGGACACATTCATGTTCCTGGACAGCATCATTGGTAAACAAGAGAAATATGATGTAGATGGGAAGACAAGGACTGGCAAAGCAAGAGCAGAATTCCTACAGTTCAAGAACATATGTAACTCGAAACAACTTTCAGCCAACATCAAAGTCAGAATCTTCAATATGAACGTCAGGATAGTTCTACTGTATGGAACTGAAACTTGGAAAAATACTACAACCATCATCAAAATGGTACAATTATTTGTAAACAATTGTCTAAGCAAGATACTCAATGTCTGTTGACCAGATACCATCAGAAACAGCCTATCGTACGAGAGAACAAACCAGGTTCCAGCTGAAGAGGAAATTGAAAAAAGACGATGGAAGTGGATAGAACATACACTGCGGAAATCATCAAACTGCATCGAGAAGCAAGTGCCAACTTAGAATTATAAAGGGAAAAGAAAAAGCGGAAGACTAGAGAACATACTAAACAGGAAATTGGCAGCAGGCATCAAAAGGGTGAGTAGCAACGGGAAGCAACCGGAAAGGATTGCTCAAGGTAGAGTTCAATAGAGAATTCTGGTATGTAGTCTGTGCTCCTCCACGAGGGGTATTAGGCGTAAGTTAGTAAGTAAGTACAAGTCCTAATTATTCTGTCCTTAATAGCTACCAAGCAGACAATTATTGTCACTTCACAACCTTTTCACCAGCCGATTATTACATAACTTCCCTTTAATACCTGTTTCTTGACAGTATACCACTTTAAGTTCTTTAAACATTTGGCATTATTCTATATTACTACAGAATACTGTTTTAGCAAATAAAACTAACTATATTGTACAGCTTAAGTAAATGAAATCGTCGAAAGGAAAATTTTATTAGCTGAATTGTCTTCTTTGTTCTTCAATGACACAATGAGTCTCTTTTTTTATTGTCAAATGTTGTTTCGAGTTAATAAATCATCATGCTTTTCTTTCAAAAGTTGGTTAACATTTTAATGTTTACAAGAGGTCACTGTCTATTTCATAGGCAACCCAGAATCATTTTTAACTGACAAGAAAAAAGAAACGAAATAATATTAACTATTCCATTTATTTTTGTGGTGGAAATTGAGGAACAGTTTATCTGTCTACATCACGCAGTCACATAAAGTCAAATATTACTGCAATGGTTCCATATATTATTTCGAACCAGGAAGGTGAAATCAGTCAGTCATAATCACTGCAAAGTCTGGAGTAAATATTCATCAACCTAAGTTGCCACACAGTGTCAGAACAACGAGAAAAATGGGAGACAGGATTTAAAGGTGGATGTGAAGAAATAATGGAACTAAAAATCTAAAGAAGGATAAAGAGGGGATGTACCTGAACAATTGTAAACGATTCCAATTCATGCAACCCAATGTCTTCAACCACTACTGGTAATGATTAACACGTGAACTTCAACTAGATATTTTGTACTATCAACATGGCCAAGACCAATAGTTTTCGACTCCAAAGACTGATGAAAAGTACATTTTTGGTCTCTATGAGCATTCTTTCAACTTCACCGTACACCAATAAACACCTCATGCTGATATACGGGTGGTTCGGCATACGTAATGCATGTTTTAACCACCTCAATAGATAAAGATATACAACCTAACCAATTGACTTCCCAACTCTATCGAATACTGAGTTTAACATCAACATTTATCGATACGCGAGAGATGTGTTCGAAGACACCTACGATCAAAACTATATGTCCTATATATATATATATATATATATATATATATATATATATATATATATATATATATATATATATACGATTCTAGTACAATAATAATCACCAGGTGATTTTGTACTTTCTTAACAAATGCACTTATATTTTTAATTGTTCATATGACGATAACACTAATTTCAAGTGAAACTAAGTCAATTTTTCATTCTTCAATATTAGTATACCCGGTTGGTTGGAAGAAAGTTAGGGGTGGCCAAACCAAAACGTGGCATCAGTGCTTAAAATCATCAACTTCTAGTCTGAGCCATGGTGGTAGATGCAGAGTACTTGGTTGGGGTCCGCGCTATTATCGTAACCGATGGTTGGAGACTCTGGGTGACATGGCTCATAGTCGATCACAATCATGTGGGCGTATACACTCTCTGCCTTCCCCTAAACTGTGAGATTAAAATTACTTTATACCTTTCTTTCTACGAACTAATTTTCTTTTCCTGTATTATATCGCTATACACAATCTTTCTTTTATATATTACTACCATTGAAGTAACTACTTCTATTAATTTGATATTCAACTTGTTGTGCTAATGAGGTATGGCAACTTGGACCGATGCATATATGTGCCTGGTCCTACGTTGTAGCTGATTGACTGAGTATACCCGGTTGTGATAAATTTTTTCTGACTGATCATCTTTCTCTATGAGTCTACAACTTTATATTTGATAAATGGCATATGTCACAGTTTTTTCGACGACGAAACTTTTTTTATTAATGTCATACGTTTTATTCATGTGTCATATGTGAAATATATAGTAAAATTTTCAAGGAGAAACATTTTACACATTAGCTATATACCGTGTTTCAAAAGTTTAAATGACACCTAATTTAAAGAAATATGTCTGTGAAAAAATTTTTTTTAGAAATCAATCTCAACTCAGAAAAACCTTCCAGTTTATTATCGCTTTTTTTTCAATTTTTAGCATTTGTTATTATTTATCAAATTTACTCTGAGAATTTAAATCTATGTTTGTATTCAGTACTCAAGTGTTTAATTAGTGATCATTTGAATACAATTAATTAATTAATGTATGAAGATAAAATGAACTAAGTATTTAACACTCTACTAAATAAAATGTCATTTAATTTCTAACTAGATATTAATCTGATCATCTCTCTACGTACAACTGACTTAGTTATAAGAAAATAAACATTTTCATCAAACATAGGGCCATAAATAAAATAGCGAAACGGCAATATTAGTTATCAACTCAAAGTGTATGTGCCTCGACAACACGAAAGAACTATTTTATAGCCAACGAACTGACCGTATAAAATGTAAGCAGTGCAAATCATGGGTGTTCCCTTTAAGTAGTTCTAATGACCACAAATCTCAAAGTGTTTTAGAAGTTTAGTTAAAATTCATTTTACTTAAAGTGCTTATTATTTTGAACTATTAACTACTATTATCAATCATTAAATGACGAATTCACGTCCATTTTACTGAATTGACTTCCTTGTTAAATAAAGATAACTTCTGTAAATTCTGTTATTCGGTGTGTCTATTTATCATTTGATGTTGATAAACTAAACATCTATGTACAAAAGCAAATACATATGCACATTTCAAGACCGGATTCAAAACCACTTTTAGAAGCATGAATTTGCATGGCTAAAATGCATTCCACCGTTCTAACTCTAACCCTAAATACTAACCTCAATTCCTACCTCTAAATTCTATTTTCTAACCGTAACACTTAGTCCTAAGTTTACATACAACTTAAATTTTCTTGTAACAAATTACTGATTTATATATATATATATATATATATATATATATATATATATATATATATATATCATCTGTTGTACCCATCATACCGTACAAAACTCACCTCTTTTATAAACTTACCGAAAAGGGAGAAATGGTCGATTATCATTTAAAGTTAAATGTTTATACGCTTCTTCTGGTGTACGTCCCAAATATATGATCTAGTAAATTATGTACAAATATATATACATATATCTTTTTTCAAATTTCAATGTGTACCTGAAAACTTCCAATGAGAAACGCAGCATTCGCTCGTTTACGTGAATCATGTGATGTAAAGTGTGCAATTTTCTTTTCGTTTAAACTACCAGACTGATATAAAGGAAAAATATAGGAATAATGTAAGCTTTTCAATAATTGTTACCTTGAGCTTTTTGTTTAGTTTACTACAGTATTTGTATAGTTGACCAAGACTCAGTGGACCGAAATCTGCATAAAAACTGATAAAAATGGATAGTAATAATAATAATGATAATAACAATAACAATAATAGTGATTATAGTAATATGATTAGTTTAAACTACAACATACTTTTCATAACATAATTCTTCATCAATGGAAAAAAAATGAATGGAGGAATTACTTCTTGGTGGAGTTTTGCAAGATAGGAAATAAAGACGATCTAAAAGGAACAGAAACAGAAACATAACAGAAAATAATTTTTTGAAGATGATGTAGACTAAACATTAGATTATTAATTCTAACTGATGATGTGATAACTTAAAGCGATACGGAAACTTTTGTTGGTTTCAGAGAAAATACAGGATACCTTTGAAATATGGGCCTTTTGATTCATTATAACATTGTGAGAACTTTTATCTGGACGACTTTAAAAATAACGTAAATCCAAACTATTGGTTCTGTTGAGAAACAAAAACTTTAGCTTACTCGTATTTCTTTTAAGGCTGATTGAATTGGTAAGCAAAGAAGCTAAATAAAAATCAGAACTTTAGAATCCTATAAATAGAATTATTTGGTAAAATTTTGTTCGTTTAACATTTTTTAATAAAATAAAAAAGTATAGGCTGTGAACCTAAACTTTGTCTGCGTTGGATTCAATAACTAGGGGTATAAACAATCTAACTTGTTTGACGAATTGCATCATTTTTGATAACCTGATCATCGTCAAGATTTGGGCAAGGACACAGAAGGCTTGATTATCGTTTGTTAACCCAAGTCGTATATGAAAATTACAAGATTTCAGTATCATCAAGTTCACAAAGACATGACTTGGCTGCGGAGCGTTTATTGTCTTTCTCCAGAATTTCATCACATCCTATTTCATGCTGATATGAGCTTTTTAGCTATTCCACGAATCTTGGATCAGTTTGTTCTTTCGATTTTATTTGTGGTTTGCTGCCTTCATGTTTTTCATTGTCACCAGTTATGAAATAACAAAGATATCCGATATATTTTCCGTACACAGTAAGCAACTCACTGCTTATCCAACAGCCCAGTTTGTCCGCTAACCACTCTTAAACATCAACACATATTACACGATCAAAGAAAAATGGTACTTTGGTCATTGACTCATCAAAAATGTCGACACCATTCTAAGAAGTATGTAGAAGGAAAAATAAAGAGATATGACAGCTGAAAACTGAATAGCGTATAAAAGTGCGAAAACACGTCCAGAATTTGAAGCAGTAAAACACTTGCATCATTTTGCTTCAGTGAAAAAAATGTAATGTACATATGCAGATTTCTGAGTTTGAGTTTTCCATCCTCGAAGTTTAGAATCTTTATTTACATATAGAGATACATAAGATTGTGTTTATCATTAGACCTCCTTTGAGACAACTAATTTAAGAAAATGATATAGTTAAATAACACCCTATGTGAAGTCTTCAAAGACAGGCATTAGTAGTTAAGATATTTCGTTAATATGACCGAACTATGTATGACACTTTTAATCTAACAGACCCTGACTAACGTAGGAGTTTATAATAGCGTTTCATTATACTGTTAGAAAATTTAGCACAAACAAAATTTCGAAACAAAATGCAATGCTTTTATCGCTACAATCAAATAATAACCATTCACAATGTTGATCATCTTTAAAATTTGATGATTGTATGATCACCTACCATTACGTGAATCAAAAGTCCATTAATAACAGTTTCATGTTCTAAACATTTCTATGCACGAGACAACAGGAAAGATTACTCGCATAAACTTAACCGTTTATGAAGGAAATATGATTTCAAAATAATCGAAAGTAATCTATAATTTTTTGATCAGACACATTTTAATGAATTTCTAAATGGTGCTTAAAATCATATATTAGTAAAAAGGTATACTCCTGTGGGGGTATATATGTGCTGGAGATTGAAACAGAGCGCTCGTTCCCACAATCTTTAAATTTGAATATTAAACAAATGCCAAACGATAATAGTTTATCCCTTACTGGATATAATCGCACACAAAAGTATTTTAAGTGCACTGAGTTGTATTGTTTTTCGCACTTAATAACATTAATTTTACTGTGTTCATTAAATAAAAGTACTTTACTTAAAGTTTGTTGTGTATTCACAGTGGCGTTTACTAGGCCATTTATTCAATGCTTTTGCTAATTGCTTTCGTATTCATAACAATTTCCACACATAAGCAAAGATGAATAGTGGCTAGCAGTAGGATCGAAGATGCGCGCTTCATCCTAGTTGAGATCCTTCAGCTGGATTTCCCTGAATCTCAGAGTTTATGACAACTCTGAGATTCGAACCCAGTACCGTTCGCTTCAAACGCCAACGCGTTATACACTTAGCTACTGAGCCCTGATAGCCACTTGCTTGTGGAGTGGGGTGAAGTTTAAATCCACGTGGTACTGTTGACTTGAATCTTCCCATTGGTAAGCAACACTCAGACACAGACCATAAAATCTGGACTACTAGGTATTTATTTTGCAGTTACACACGAGTATTGACTTATTGTTTTACATGACCTTTACTTTGTGCTGACAGTATTTATGAAATTGTAACACTGCTGAGGGCTTGTCTGCTTCGATCCAAATACCTTATAATATCGAATTCTCAATTCGTTAAATCTTAATTGAGAAAAAAATACACTCATTATAAATTAAAAATATAATAATCTAGACAGTTTAGAATAATATATGGGAAAATCACAAACATGCAACTTTCAGGACATTTTTTAAAAACTAATGAAAGAAATGACCGAGAATTTTTGAGGTAAACTGTCATGTTCATACGGTGTGCTAATATTCCAGAGGTCTGTCTTGCAAAAGAAAAATGGAACAGAAAGTGAACCTAAAACCCAGTGTTTATGGATAAAGAGACGAAACTGCTAGGCTATAGCTTCATACGAGAAACACTGAGCAAATGCCAGAGTACTTACATATTTGAAACCTATGTCAGTCAATTTCCCAAAACTCGTTCCACTGTGTATGAGACATAACTAAGAACTTTCTTTTCAATTAGGAAACGTCAAAAAAGTCAAAAAGATTCCGTAGCACTGTAAATCACCCATTATCCAAAGTAAGTAGTCAAAAGACTTATGGGATAAACCATGGTACATTTCATTTACCGAAAGATGAAAATAATGCATTATCCGATTCACTAATTTATTAGACAAATATTTACTTAGTGGTTAAGCCATTCGACTTTCGACCGTAGGTTTAAACTCCGATAAACCTACTTTAGCCAGCGTAACTGGGCCGTACTATTAGCCAACACAGACTGTGGCCTGCATCCAAGTATCTCGTGAGTTAATTAAAATAAAAAAGACGATAGAATGCACAAACTAAAGCAATAGAATTAGAGAAGTATCAGAGTAAAAGAATTTTTTGCTGAAATGATTAGTGTTAACTTAATTAACACACATAACACTAATTTACACCCCAATTTATACTGTCAATTGATATTCTGAAATAGTCACAACATAAAAACACTATGGTTGTCTAAACAACCACTGCACGACAGCTACAAATAGAGGCTCGGAGTCAAAGCTTTGAAGTAGGGTTTACCTAAATTAAAGATAGATTTTATAAAACGTCTGAAAGAAATTGTAGAATTTCTCAACTAAAACTATAAACAATAATAAATTTATTCTTGACATCACGTATTCAAAGACCTGTCAAAATGCAAGGTTATTCATGGCATTTTTGATACTTCAAATCTATCCTAAAAGGTGTTATTTATTGTCATAATATTGATAATACTAAACTCTCTATAAGACAATTTTTTAGGATCAGAGGTCGAGTATTCTTTATTTATAGTTAGCTTGAAAGTTATTTGTCTGTGCATTTTACTAATCTAAGTAAATTTCATATATTTATTAACTTTTTTCAAAAATTATGCTTGATGTAATGATGTAGCTAGAACTGGACTGTACAAAATGAGTCTTTTGCACAAAATAGAAAAGGAAAATTATGTAATAATGTCAATATTAAAAGTATCGAACAACACATCTGATACTAGAAGGCAATAATGGTTACGTCCCCGCCAAGAGAATAATAGTGTTTGTGAATAACACAGCGGGATAAATTCGGCCTTTAAGGTATGTTTAAAAACCCGAGACAAAACGCTTTCGATATATGGATAGGTAAATATGATGCTCTTCAAGAATCCGAAATGAGAAACTTTCGGTGTATCGGTAATTTTTGAAATACTTCAGAGGAAATCTTATTGATCGGCCACACATTAATGCCTTGTTCTAATACGGACAAGCATGCGGTTACCTAATTTACAATTACCACTCTCAACACTTCATCAGAAAAGTTGCATCCCAACTTTTGTAATCATGAAATGTTTTCTTTGGATCGTCGGCTCTACAAATTAACGTTGAGCATTGTTAAAAATCCTGTCACAAAAATTCAAACTGAAAGAATTTATTACACTTATGCAGCTGCTGCAGTGTGAACATGCAGGACAAGACATAATTATCTTCTACATATTTATATGACTGAATACATATATGGCAATGGCACACGAAAATAGGACAACTTCGAAGTATATCAAGCTGGTAAATTCTAATTATAAAGCATACATGTATATTCACTGACGATGAAATTGTTTTGATGCTTAACAAAAGATTGTAGGCTATTCTGAGGAATGTTGGTAGACGCAGAGTACTTGGTTGGGGTCCGCGCTATTATCGTAACCGATGGTTGGAGACTCTGGGTGACATGGCTCATAGTCGATCACAATCATGTGGGCGTATACACTCTCTGTCTTCCCCTAAACTGTGAGATTAAAATTACTTTATACCTTTCTTTCTACGAACTAATTTTCTTTTCCTGTATTATATCGCTATACACAATCTTTCTTTTATATATTACTACCATTGAAGTAACTACTTCTATTAATTTGATATTCAACTTGTTGTGCTAATGAGGTATGGCAACTTAGACGGATACATATATGTGTCTGGTCCCACGTTGTAGCTGACTGATTGGTTTACATAGTTACTTAGGTACTTTCATATCCAATTACAAGTTTAAGTGAGCCCACAACCACATTAAAATTAATAGATAACCTTTCTGAATTGCTGGCTAGTTACAGTGACCAGTGTCCCCTAATTTCTTCGAATTAAAACACTGAAAAAGAATAATTCTATAAAGAAATAATATAAGTACAAATTTAAACTTGTTTATACACTCCATTTGTTAAAAAAACGAGGTGTAAAGACGATTTAAGACTCGACAAAAGATAAGTTCCCCCTTAGGGACTGTACACCGGTTGTTGATATTTACTGATGTTCAGTCTAAGAGGTACAGGCAATTGAAGAATGTACTAAACCATTGGTCTTAGGGTATATGCTCGGCATTATTAGTGATCGCATCACATCCACGAATTAGCAAAAAAATTTTCTTCGAAACGGATAGCTGTTCGGACAAGTACAGATATAACTTATAGTTAAATAAGCACAGAAACAACGACGAAATCAGATAAGTAGATTAACCCAATTATCACTATCATGGGTTAATTTTGGGCAACTTTGGGTAATTTTTTGGATTTTCCTCAAACTCGCAAGAAATACGATGGTCTTTCCCAAAGTTTTGGAACATTTTATGGGAAAACCTCAAAGTGTTATAAGATTCGGTGGAAATATTGGGCAAAATCCAAATTACACCAAATTATTTTGAAGGTTTACCCAAAACTGTGGAGATTTTTCCCCAGAACTAAGGAAATCTCAGGGTTTTTGAACCACTTCTCCAAAAGTTTTTATAGCTGATTCTCCCAAAATTTACTTAAATCAAACAAAATTTTCTCCATAAAAAAGGAGATCAAGAACATAATTACTGTACGAAAATAATCCAACAATGTGCATTAAACAGGCGGAACCACCCACAAATCCATTATAAATGTACGATTTCCAGTTTGATAGGCCTCTTATAGACTTACCTCTAATTATACATGACGCAACCGATAATAATCGTTCATTATCGATTTCATTTTTATCATACAGCTTTAGGACCATTGAATTGCGATATTACCGAATCAAGAAGTATCTACGTATGTAACAGCCTCTAAATGGTATAAATGAAAACAGTCCTAATCCCCAAAGGACGATATAAGCCCTTAGAAAGGAATTGAAGCATATGTTGAAGCCTTTTTAGAAAAGTGCTAACGAACGACCTTGAATGGTCGACAAAAATTTATCCAAAAAAACTTTGTGGTGTATCACGCAGCCATTTTTCAATCTTATGAATGCCTTCACTTGACTAAAAAGCCTTAAAATTAGGTATTTCATGTATTTTTGGATTTCTAAATGAAAAAGAAGACTTGAAACATGCTTATACAACCCAAGGTGTGACCTTACTAGTCACATCAGATATCGTGGGACCCGAATTCGGTAGTGAAGACAACTGTAAAATGCCAAATGGAACAGACGCTACTGTCGGTTGAATTCGTTCAGCATACCATGATACAGGACACCAAGTCTACAATGCCGATAATGAGGCACGCTGCACTGGCAGAAAACGAAGACTTGCAGTTTCTGAATAACATCTCACCCCATTTTAAAGAACGTTCTGTTTGAAACCTTTAATGCGCGTGATGCTGTAAAAGTTTCGTGCTGATAACTATCCTCGTTTTATCGCTGTAAGGAGCTAGATTAATGGTTGAACAGTTCTTTCTTCTTATCCTGGAAAACACTTGAAGCCGGAGGTTCCCTTTTTCAAAAACACAAAGTTTTCTGCATTGCAACGACAGGGCAAAGAGGAGTAAATCAAGAAAAATCGGAAACACGTACTTGCAGGTAAATTTGATGACTATGATTGCACATGAAACTTAACTATCCGCCGATGTCATGGACGATAAGTTAGCATGAAACACATGACACTTTTCCTGTGTGAGAGAGTAAATGAAATAAGACCAGGAGTCTCAGTAAACAGTAATACTCACTTCAAAGCACTGTTGTCAAATAAAACCGAACGAAAAATCATGATATTGTCTTGTTCTTGTCTTAACATCTAGAAAGATAAGATGATCCAAGATCTATAATAAACACTACATATGAACTTTGACCAGCAAACAAGTTACCACATCTATAGATTCGTTTATTGAGAGACTTTTCATGCCTTTTACTGGTTCAGGGCTGACTGAACATACGAGTGACGTGACAACATAAGGTAAGAAACTGGTCGTTTTGATAACCCATGGTCAGCTTCTATTCAATGTCCATGCAAAATCGCAAATTGGGATTAATCCGCATAGGGCGATCAATCTTAGCGTGATCAAAAACGAGAATGCTCCCTACTCCAGCTATACTAGGAATGATTTTACTATCATGATGGACCATCTTCAACAATATCCATGGCTTATAGAGTGGTAAAGTTTTACAGTGTATAACCACAGGAATATCATTCGAAATAACATCCTACACATTGTACCTCATGCAAAGCACACACCCGGAAAGAAAATATCATTAATTAAGCGAAATACAGTATGCTTGACACAAGCAAAATAAGAACCTATATATTGTTGGAAATTATAGATGAAGGATTTTGACTGCAGCTCATACTTAAAGCTGGAGAAATACCAAAGTTTACGGCTACGGTAGACTTCCCCGGATCCAACTAGCAGCCAAAATACAGGCCAACTAAAAATATCTATGTAGATCATAAAAAACGATTAACTATTAAGCAAGGTGGTCTGAGCTTCCAAACGACCTAACGGGGAATATCTCAAGAAATAAGATATTACAAGAACCTATCATACGAACCTCACCGACCAACTGAATCAGAAAGCTACAAGCTCGTAACATTGTTGGACTTGAGCGCCATCTGATGGTCTGTGAAATATTCATTCGACCCCCGGATTAGCACTGCGTAAACTAAAATAACCGGTCTCTGGAAAGACACCATGATTCGATAATATGTTCTCTGTAATCCTGAAACAGTGAATGGAGGCCGCCAGTATACCAGTGAGCTCCAACACTTGGCCTTATTTTCTATAGGCTCTATGGGAATAAATGTTTACCTGATAATAATATACAACATATAAAGTACTCCACATAAGTGGAACATGAAACTACTACCAGAACATCAACGCCGTGTGTAATATCCATTTGGAAGGTTTTGTGTGTGGAAATCACCCCATGTATACACCTGTAATTTATTTCTCTTGATTCCTACAGTTGTGTATATTTTGTCAGTCCTTTCTATTCCATTTGAGGTGGTAATAGTTTTACTTTATTATAGTTTTTATTTCCATTAAGCATTCACCTAGTTTCTATGACTTCCTAAACTGCATTTGTGTCGTTTTAGTCGACACTTGATCATGGCGGCAGACATGTTGAGTGTTCCTCCTTTGATTGTGCTGCTTGCATTGACTGGGATTGTTCGTTTTCATTGCGAATTGAAAACAGAATTGAAAACACTGCGTTATAAAGCAACAAACTATTATCTTCTGCACGGATTTATGGGTGATTTATCCAGAAAGGATAGAATAACACTTACCTTTTGGCACACTCGGTAACGTTTCTACATTCCTTACCAATTTGTCTATCTACTGTGAATTAGATTGACTACTAAGAGAGAACAACTATTGGATGAATAAGTGGGTGGTAATATTTGTTTAGTTAATAATGTACATTTATATTTCTAAAAAAACTTAAGACCGTTATTTACCCAATCACCTTGTTTTGGCAGTAGCGCATATTTAAACTTAATAGACATTTATTCTTCAGTCAAACCTTCGTTCGGATTTTACAGCAACTTTAATTGTCTTTCCGGTTCCATCCTCGTTTAGCACACATTCGCTTATCTCTATTACTTTTCTCCCTCGTAATTTTTGTCTTGCCTACCTCCTCCTTAACTTATCCTAAACTTTATGTTTTAGTCTTGTATGTATCATACATAATGATAGTTTTGCCACCATTACTTACTCTACCACTACAAGGACGACTAGCGGAAGTAGAGGTCTAAGTTCAGAGGTGATGGTAGGCCAAAAGTCCCAGTTTATAGCAACGGTATTATAAGAAATCTTAGTGCGGTACCAAATAAAGAAACTCAGAGTAACCTGCATATCATGGAGCACTCAAACAAAACGCCAAAACTCAATCTTCAACTTAGTAATCAGAATCACACTCCTTCCCAGGCGCCTACTCTCAGCACAACTAATTAGCGGAAAAGAAATAAGAGAAAAAGGCATCCCTAACTGTTCGTAACTCAGGCTGCTGTGGAAAATTAGCACAAACATGATAATTGTGTCGCATGCTCCTCCTTCAGAATTTGAATGTAATGTATGTAATGGCCGGGTTTACTGTTACTGTGATGCTGCGGTGCCTCGGTAGTACTACGGCTTTATGTTAAGTCGTCCTTGTCCGCCTTTCTGGTACGTTTGCCCAATATGTAAAAAAACACAGAGATGGAACCAGTAAAAGAAAAGGACGAGACCTCATTGAAAGCGACGGTATCAATGTTTGCTAGTAAATACATGTCGCCCGATATGGGATCAACCGAATACGTGACTACAGGAATCACAATACGAGCTCATACTTCAACGCAACTACCTTACACTACCAATTCGCAAGCATCTGTCAACAGCGGGGAAGAATATGTGAGCGTTTAATGGTGGTGGCCACCTCTTGTTTCCTAAACCGATGGTTGTTGTAGGTTTTATTCCAACCGTTTGAGCTCGAGATTACCATTTAGAAACAGGGAGCTCCCAAGATTCAGTAAGGGATAATACCCGATTCAGCTTGTCACATCAGCTTCCTCCTATAACTGACTCCCACAAGAATGTCGGATCGATCATTATATCAAACAAAAAAATATCAGTTCCGTTACCACAGACCAACGGAGAATTGATAAGTCGTTCCATGTTCTACCTTTTTACGTCTGTCTATCAAAACCTGCAGATGGTCTATAAAGGTCATATATTTACTAGCTTATTATCTTTTCAAGGTAGTATTTGCATTCTTTACACAAATCACCACACACGACTGGTTCTTTGTGTCCTGTACATAGGAATCAAATCTAGTAAGGTAATAGAGGGAACATGTGAGAATCACGAGCCATCTATCCAGCACCATGTTGGTGAGATACCAATTTCCTAGGTTCTGTTAGGCTATCACGTATTTACTCACATTCCTCTTGAGTTACCCAAGCCAAAAATAAAGAACAATCTGTCTAGTGAAGAATGGCAGACCCCGGAAACAAACTTTGATGTAAGTTTGTTTCATTTGTAATCATCCGTTGTAACAAAACTTCCATGTGTTGTTCATTTAATTTTAAATCAGGACCGCCGATCAACAAATTCTCCATATGCCCCTATGCAATAGGCATAGGACGTGTAGGTTGTCCATAAACATTCGAAATGTTCGAGTCGCATTCCTCGGACCGAATAGCATAAATACAAACTTGAGCGGTACAAAAGGTGTAGAAATCGCTGACTTCGGGATATATTCTCCAGCTACTGGGACGTCGTGATGTTCTCTGAACAAGTCAATTTGACTAATTCTGTTCGTACCCTGAAAACCGTCTGTAAAATCATACAGATGATAAATCGGGTACCTATCTGGTACGGCTTCACGGTTGGGGGACCTGCAATCCCCACACGGTAGCCAGTCACCTTCATTTCTCTTTGAAATCACGTGTAGAGGTGATGCCTGTCAGTAGAACGGACAACGCCCAGTTGCAGCATGTATGCAAATTCACGACTAGCGATTGTCAGTCTTCCGAGACTTACAAGCACAACCACTTCTCCAGTTCCATCGTACGAGTTTCTTTCGGAAGACTGAGTGTTCACTTTGCTTAGGCTTGAAAATTACTCGAACATACTCTGGAACTTTTGAGTTCTTGCTGGAGGAGTTTGCACGAAGTTAACAAACTTATGTGACTTTGTCTGATGTATAATGTGGAGTTCCGTTTCGTGTAAGATATCGTTTCTCAGTGTCAATTAAGAATTCATACCTTTGCAAAACGTCCATTCCCATTATCGCCAGATCTGAATTAACTAAGATTAACACTCAGAATAATGGTCTCTTGAATCCCAAATACGGCACCAGAGTTCGTCGCTAGAACGACTCAATTTGAATTTTTTTGGCAGCTCGAACTGTACCTGTGAGATTTCACCGACCTAGTCAGATTTTGTTCTGAGGAACGACAGTAAGCGTGGCAACTGTATCTACCAAAACCTTCAAGCTGGGAATTTTGTCCCTAACTGAAAACAAGAGACTGAAAAGGCACTCTTCCTCCGTCTCTACCACCTGTGAAGGGCTTAAACGTTTCCTACACTCTTGGTAGTCTGTTTATGCCAGGTAAATGGTTGATTGCACCAGGTAGACTAGGCACCAAGCATCCAGTGATCCCAACATAACTGTCCAGACGGTCTGGACGTTTTCGTCCTGCTTGTGACCCGGAATTCGGTCACTTTGGTGACCTACTCCTGTTTCTATGATCCGTTCGCAATTTAGCGAAGACTCGGGGAGACTTTTAATACTCATAATTAGTTCCGTTATAGCTGAATTTTTAATAGTTCTTCTCTTTGTGTTTGGTGTATCATACGTCATTCGGTTGTGAGCCTCTCTCGAATATTCAATCTGTATTGATTACTAAGTGAGGGAAGGTGGTATGCCGGCTAGAGAAAACGATTCGAAGCTTGGCTGTGTAGAAGGTGTGTTAGGAATAAACTTTATTATTATTATTATTATTCACAATCATCTTTTGATACATATGTGCTGTGGAGAAACCATTTCGGGTTTTTTCAAAAATGCAATAATACACAATTTTCAATAATGTTAGCAATACATTTCCTATGTTTGAGAAAGGAAAGAAATATAAAATGTTATTAATAGAATAGGAATAATAAATCAGGTTGTGCGTAATTGGCAAGAATTTTGAATTGATTTTGAAGGAGGAAAGGAAGAAACTAAGGAAATAGAAGTAAAGAAGTCGCGGAATACGTAAATATCTTAACGCAGAACAAGAATAAACAACTATGTATGTATAGCAAAAACGAGTAATAAAATAAAACATAATAAATTAATAAGTAAATAACTTATTATTGCGGTAAGATATGACGTTAGAATAAGTGTTAGTTCGTACAAACATAGTTTTGGGTGATGCTATGAAAGTCTCAATTAAGTGCAAAAGATAATCAATATGTATGAGGTGTATATACATAGTGAAGATAAAACTAGTCCGATAAGTTTAATTCAGCGTAACACAAATTATTGTCTTAATCCAAAGCTTCGTAATCTTAAGAATAATATTTATTTAGAAGGCCACATCGATGTGTATCTATAAATTTACTTGCTCATGTGGAGCACATTACATAGGCCGCACAAAGCGATCGCTTTCCAAACGCATCTCTGAACACTCTCCAGCTTGGCTCCTACAAGGTGAAAATAAAAAGATAACCAGTTAGATACAAGAGCACTTGATCAACTGTGGACACATTGCTCCGAAAGAATTGTATTTTAAAATTATCTATAGAGTAAAAGGAACCGGATCAAAGGGAGTTCGGATCAATATTTTATGCACTGCTGAGACATTGGCGATCCATGATTTCAAGCATGAACTTTGCGTTCAGAAAAGATTTGTCCAACCTATCACCCCTCCTTGGCACTAAATCCCTCATTAGGTACGTTTTTTGGTTGTCGTTTTTTGTCCGCACTTTTATCTGATATTATCAGTTTTTTGTTTTTTTAATTACTATTTTGCATTTTAAACTCTAATCAGTTATTATTATTACCTTATACCAGTTTTTCTTGATTGTTACTCAGATTCTAATTATTATTACCTTTGTGTTTGTCGCTTTTATTCATATCTGTCATTGGTCTATTATCTGAACCATAAATTATTTTCTTCCTTACCACTCGATTATTACGTAACCTCATTTGTTATATAATGTCGGATCAATTTATAATGCAATCGTTCTTAGCCTCCGGTAGACATACATTTTCCATGTAACTATATATACGAATATACAGCCTAATTAAATGATTTCGTAGAAAAAAAATTTTCTTCGCTGAATTCCGTTTTTCTTATTCAATGACATGAGTTATTTTAATACTTAAAGATAAACCCAATCATTAATACTCCCAGACATCTGCACGAATGTACTGTTATTCACTTTTATTGATTTTATCTATTTAACGACCCTAGTTGGGAAGCATACTGTCAGCCAACGAATGTCGCAACTTGTAGATCATCCCTGTAAATATGTCGTGTACCTTCCCCGACAGAAATGTATTATTATTATATTAAATAAGGCCACTAGCAATGATAGTTATAATAGTGAAGTGGGGTATGTCAAATGACCCACGGTATTGCACAACCATCTCCCATCTCAGGATACTGGGGCCCATGTGCACCATTGGTTTGGAATCAGGATTTTCCAACTCCTCTAGGTGGATCCTCCATACCTATCCACTCGGTTTAAAAGCCAGACATTTTCTTTTCGTCCTCTCAATTTCGTAAACAACACCCTCGTCACGAGAAGGCAGCCAGTAGAACTTCCTTGGTAGTGGCTGTATTTCATGAAGAGCACTCTTCACCTTCGACCGTAATAAGGCATTCGGGGGCTCTTACTACCACTTCGTAATCATTTCGCTGTGCTGATGTGGTGTAGCAACTTGGACTAATGCACATGTGCCAGGCTCTACACTGTTTATAAATAACGGGCTGAAAGAAAACCACAGCGAGATCCCTACGTGTCAGGCCACTGAGTTGTATACTTTTTAAGAACCAACCAGGAGAGTCATAAATAATTAATAAACCCTATTGAGGTACACATTATTCCACATATTCATGCCTTGAACCAACAGCCTCACCACCTTTTGCCATCATTCCCAGAGTTCGTAAATAATGTGTTAAATGAAAATAGCTAAAATATCTGTAGATCATAGCACCAAGTTACAAAGATTATTGCTTCGAAATGTTAACATTTACTGACTCGTCCCAATATATACAAACATTCTCTTAACTTCAATATCACCTAAAGTAATGCAACTTCGTTTTATTCACAAGTGCCTATCCATGATTCCATAGAAAACTGGATGAAACAGCTTACTTAGTTGCATAACATGGCCAGTATAAATTAAGAAGTTGCTAATATGATTAATTTAAAGAGGTGGTCTGCAATGAATGATTAGTGGCAGAGTAAGCATCGATCACCATATATACTGAGTACTAATATGTGCAGCAATGGTAACCTGTTATTTGTTGCAAATAAAATATAATAATATATGTAGGTAATTTTCCTATCACTGAATATTCAACATAATAAAAGGCTTTAGAAGAAAGATCAACCTTAGAGCTGGTAAGTGGTCTGAACTGTTATGATAATGACATGCAACTTATAAAAAGATTAATACCAAATAACCAAGATTATAGACTAACTTGACCAAAGGAAGTACAGAGCATTGTTTCCTATTGCAGCTTCAGCTGTCCCTGCAGTTACACTAATAGCTATGATAATAGCAATGATAGCAAGTACACTATAACCTATCCAGTGTGCACGAGCAAAGGCTGGACCAACAGATGTAACTTTATGACAATGTGGACATCTTGCGGTTATAAGTCCTGCAGCATTGGAAGGGTTCCTGCCAGATAGAAGTGCAGTAAACGCATTCATACGTCCAAACGAATGGGATTCGGGTGATGGTATAGAAAATGGTGAATTACAATTACCGCACGACAGACGTAGACTTTGAGGAGTACCAAACGTTCCATGTGTAGCTGGACCCTGTAAAAACCTATTGCTACCACCCATAAAACCCACACCATCTTCCTATTATAAAACCAAAAAGAAGGTGGAAAATAAATGTATAATCATACGAATAATCGACACCAACAAAAGTAAAGAATGGCTACAAATACTAGAAATTATGATGCCTGTGTGAGACAAAACTAGTTAGTGTAAGCGCAGCCATCTGTAACAGCTTAATAGGAAAATACCTGATTAGTACTCGTCTGCTTCTGAATTGCTTATACGCATGCATAAAGTAAGCGGTGGTCGAGTAAAGTACTTGGATTTTAAATGGGTCACAGTTTGGAGTATTGTCCTATCTGTTTTATCCCGAGTAATTGGACAGTAGCCTTCACAAAAAACAGTGCTTTAAAGCCGAGTGCACAAACTTTTACATGAATACATCCAGTTCATTACTTATTTTTATTTATTTATTTAAACACATACATATTGGTACAAGGATACACCAGATACATATGCGCCTCACAAATCTCATTTGATTTGTGTGAGGGCTGTGATACTGTCCGGATGCCCAGACCGAAGCAGGTGGTTTACTTAGGGGACCATACCCCGAGCCTTTGACCTAAAGATCTGATCCACAAGGCAGTGGAGCATCGTAATAAGATGCAGTTCCATGGTATCCGGTCACCAACGATTGATTCATACGCCATTTGTTCCCTCAGGATACTGGAGCCCATGTACACGATTGGTTTGGAATCAGGGTTTTCCAACTCCCCTAGGTGGACTCGCCGTGTCCTCATTACTTAAAAACTAACGTCAATACATTTTATCTCCAAACGAAAAACTAAGATAATATGCATTACCACATACATCTAGTAGTTGTGGTTAACACTAATTCTAAAAATGATTCATAGTTAATCAACATGTTTATCACTACTGACTGTTTGAATAATACTTGTCTGGTAGAACTATACAACTATAACTATGTGTACATACAAGAACATATTTAAACTGAAAAGTATAATTAAATTGATCTAGCCTTGACCAATTACTATATTTCAATTACCCTACCTATAATATATTATATTTTTACATCCTTATGAAACAAAATATGATAAATTAAACTTTTCACATGAGGTAAGAGGTGAGAAAATACCATTCTGAATTTACAATGTGATGAAATGATAGGAAATTTACAATAACTGGATCGAAGCACTGCATATTTTAACTATTTAATTTAATACAAAAACAAACTTATAACTAACTAAAAATATTCATTTAACCTTATCACTGACTATTCTGTGATCCTAGTCTATTTAAAAAAAGGATGAGAAGACGATGGTCAATATCTATAGATTTTCAGGTCATCTATCGTTAGTTGTATTTTATCTTTTAAATGACAGAAGCCCTATAAGTATAACGGTGAATCCTGAACAGTATTTCCTATATTCGATGACATATTGGGCATAGTACAACTACCAATCTCAGTGAAACACGGATTGTTTTCTGAAAGTTTACGCAGATTACATGTCATTTCCGACAGCAATAATTGTCAGTCTTAATATGCTACTTGACATAATTATTTTTGAGGTCAAACAAACTAGAGTGCAATTAGCTGAAGATAAACTGGACGTGCATACACCTTGATTTCGATCAAGCTCAAGTATGCCGCTGTCATAAATAACGAATTTATCATTCTAAACGAAGTGAAATAAGCTAAACAGCTGAACCTAACCTTAAAAATGAGTAATAAATACAGCCACATTTGAGGTTAACAGTCAGAAACGTAAAAATGTGGCGTAGGATACAGAACAACAATTTATTGAACTCAATTGCCACGCCGTATATAGGTCTGAAATGAGGTTCATAAGGTGAAAAGAGGATTTAAGCAAAGAACAACTTTTAAAAGGTCAACTTCCTATCGAACAGAACTACGGTATCTGTACACTTGAAGTTGACAAACGATTCTCCAAACGGGAAATCAATCATTGAGTCAGCGTTCGAGAGAATAACTTGTCAGTATATCTACGATGAGATTAGGTGAAAATTGGAAAAATAAGCAGCTGACATGGATACTAGTATAATGATTTTAGTTAACGGTTAGTCTTAAGTTATGATTCGATCATTTCCAAAAATACATCCTTTAATTGACTGATTTAGCGCGCATTGCTTAGCGTCCGTATTCAAGAGCTTCTCCGCTCCTCTGTTTCTCTTTTTCTCTGAACCCATTTCTGAGTGCACAGCTATGGTGCTCCTGACGCCTGGAACAAACTTGAAGTACGCGTTTCCTCAACGTCACGATTCCCACCAAGCGCTCTGAGAATCTACTTGATAACAACCATAAACTTTGAAAAACGTGTTGCGTAAATACTTAGCAAGACCAGAATTCTAACATAATTATCTCGAGATTGGGTCTGGTGTGTAATGTGGACGCGATGCCACTTTGGAAAATATTTTGAAGACTGTACTCATTGCAATACTAAAACATAAACCCAATCATTAATACTCCCAGACATCTGCACGAATGTACTGTTATTCACTTTTATTGATTTTATCTATTTAACGACCCTAGTTGGGAAGCATACTGTCAGCCAACGAATGTCGCAACTTGTAGATCATCCCTGTAAATATGTCGTGTACCTTCCCCGACAGAAATGTATTATTATTATATTAAATAAGGCCACTAGCAATGATAGTTATAATAGTGAAGTGGGGTATGTCAAATGACCCACGGTATTGCACAACCATCTCCCATCTCAGGATACTGGGGCCCATGTGCACCATTGGTTTGGAATCAGGATTTTCCAACTCCTCTAGGTGGATCCTCCATACCTATCCACTCGGTTTAAAAGCCAGACATTTTCTTTTCGTCCTCTCAATTTCGTAAACAACACCCTCGTCACGAGAAGGCAGCCAGTAGAACTTCCTTGGTAGTGGCTGTATTTCATGAAGAGCACTCTTCACCTTCAACCGTAATAGGGCTTTGACGGGCTCAATTTGTACAGGAATGGCGTGACCAAGCAGCGGACACCGAAGTTACACCCTGCGGTTAGTATCTGATGTGAATTAACCTTTCGTCGTATTACGGTGCTATGACTGCATTGATGACGGTACAACATAAACGACGTTGTTACAGAAATATAGTAGTAAGAGCAGGTGTAAGAAACAGAGTGCGACCACCACCGTGTGGGTAGTCCATGGCATGCAATTAACTGATGAGCGTTAGTTGTCCTTGGCCTTGACAGGGGTTAGTGAACTGTACGGCATTCAGTGACTCGGAGGTCTGGTGAATTTGCTAGAGCTCAGTGCCCTACATGATCATTATCATTAGTTTTGTGTTCAAAGTTTGACTACAATCCTGCCGGAATTGCTAGAGAGGTTGAGGGAAGATTAAATGAGATCAGTGGGGATATGTTCCGAATAACAGCTTCAAGGTCATTCAAGTCATCTAGTGTAATAACTTTAGAAGGACTAACTTTTATTTGACTATGTTTAGTTGATTATGTTTCGTCATATAGCTTTTGTTCGGTTTTCCGCATTATAAACCGTCTTGTACGGCTCACTATCGGAGCATGCACTACCGCGGTAAGCTCGACTTTTGGCCTTGTAACATTTGTAACATGGCAAGATAGAGACGATGTTTGATTTGAAATTACTGATTAATTGATTGATTGAATCAATACGTTTAATTGGGCAGTTGCAGTTAGTTAGAAGCTAATCAAACTGAGAATATATACATCTCATCAGTGGACTTATTCCGACGGCCATTCTAGCCAACTGATTGGATTGCTCACTGAAGTCTTTACAAATATATCAAGAGCAAATAGACATCATCACAACCCTTATACAGATTCGTGTGGTTGCTAGCGCCGACTAATTTACCGATTGCCGTAATCTTACAGTATCGTAAACAAGTTTATTCATGATCCTAATCTCCCCACTTTGGGGAAGCCGCAATAGAAAACTTTGGGAAAATATCACAAAATCTCCACAAGCCTTGGGGATAACTACCGAATTTCTTATAACTTTGAGAAAAACCCCGAAATAAGCAGATTGGAATGTCTAACTAGAACCTAAACTGTAGACAGTGGCCGTTATACGATAATCATATTCATTACCTGTGTACGGATGAGCGTATACTCATTGTTTTGTAAAGCGTGAGTCGTTTTTGTCTTGTCAAGGCAGAAATACACTAGATTTCCAATATATACGACTGTCTCAACAATAGGGTTATTGTTATCAATTTATTAAAAATTGTTGCCCTCACTTGAGTTCTCAATAACAAAACTTGGATTTCATTTGAGTTTGCTCTGATTCTTTTGGACAAAGCAGGATTTTTCTGAGTATATAAGAATAATCTAGCTAGTATATCACCAAACTTGTGTGTTTGACTGAAAACCTGAAATGACAGTTATGGTTTGGAGATTACTGGTCGCTACTTACCCTTCAAGATGTCTGTTTACCAACGTTTGCCGAAATATTTCACTGGCTCAAGGGAGAGACGGCTTTGTATGGGCTTTATATCATGGTTAAAAGAACCGTGTTAGCTGCGCTGTTTCTTATTTTGAGGAATTTTTCCAGTTACCTTTGTAAAGCTGTATGAGAAATTTACTTTTTCCAAACTAGTCAAAACAGTTTTACGTTCAAAATCTGCCTGAGTAAATTCCTAACCTGATTTTCCGTAAATATTTTATTACTGGGGCAACAAATATGAGCCTGAACTCGTACTTTCAAGTGTTACATCAAACTAGACGAGTGACAACAAAAGTATCACAAACACAGCTAATGTGTACAGTAACATCTCGGGATAGTGATTTTCCCTAATCTTTATATCTGTTACAGGTTTCGAACCCTTAAAATGACTTTCTCCAGACAAATGAATGTGATTAAACTATTACGGACAAGTTGGCTACATTGTTATGTTAAGAATCGATACTCGGTAGCTCCAGTCACTGCATTATCCGAATCATCAGTAACTAGTGACCAGGAATCTGAAACTTATTCCAATAAACTTAAATCCCTCTATTTCTCCGTGAATTCAGTTACGTTACTCGGGACTGTCATTGGAATACAAGTAAGTTACCAGTTCTATTGAGGAGATACTGTATGTTATGATAAATGAACTTACTAATAATTAGCTCTATTTATCCTTACAATATTTCACGGCCTCTCCTACTACTCGTTACTTTTATTAAACTCTTAGATGTCGCTTTCTGCTTCCTGCCAGTCATACATTTTAAGCTGGTATATATATATAGGCTTAATTTTTTGGTTATTCAACCGTAGTCAGACGGATTACGATTAACACCGCTTTTTAATAGTTTTACGTCAAGAAAACCCTTCATCTGTATGTCTCTGGCGTTTCCGATGCTCACTTAGGACTGAAGTCTGTAATGACAGGCTCCAATCCAAATTTCACAGATTGAATAATTCGTGGGAAAGTTTAAGTTTCAAGTGTCATTCAAATCAAAAACCACTTGTCGTGTATCCTGGGATAAAGCGTCACAAATCACCACTCCCAGGTTACGTACGTCCTGCCTATAGCTTATAGAATTTTTCGGGAGTTAGTGTTCCAAAATCCTGGAGTGCGTCTGTAGTTGTCCCTGTCTTTAAAGGGTTTACATCAACCAACCAGAACTATCGGTGGATAAGTCTGCTTCCGATTATATCCCGAATATCGGCTTTCATCATACTTTGGAGATCGTTCGAAATCTGGAATATCGATTCGCGAGGAAAAAGCTGGTTTTCGTTCTGATCAAGGATGTATTGGTGATATCTCCAGCTTCCAAAAAATGTTCAAACACCTCCATACTTGCTTGAGGCCAACAGTTTTTGTGTTTATTGGTATCAAGTTTTACTTATTGTGGACAGGACTTTTCTTTGGGATCGCCTGTTCAAGACTAATTCCATTCAATTGATTGTTCAACGATGATTCTTAGTGTCGCGATTTGGTCTGTACACAACCGATCTTTACGGAATCCGGCCTGTTGATCTCGAAGCTGGGCGTCTACTGAGTCTGTGTGTGCTGCTTCAATGTGGGTTCAGTAAAACTAGTCTATTCAAGAGTTCTTCAAAATTCTCTATCCAATTGTCTGGCTGTTCTTCTGGCGGCCAGACCAAAACGTGGCATAAATCCATGAAGTCGCTGACAAGTAGACTGAGCCATATTGGTAGGTGTAGACTACCTGGTTGGGGTTCGCGAGATGATAGCAACCGATGGTTAGAGACCTTGAATGACATGGCTCAAAATCGTTTGCAATGGCGAAAGTGCATCTACCAAATTCTAATTATCTGAATTCCTCATGTCCCTATCCTTTTTCTCTTTTCAAATTTATCTCACTGTATTATACTCCTTCAATAACATCTTCAAACCCTAATCTTTCACATAATGCTTATACTCTTACTACTTCTACCACTACGGGATTTGAATCGACAACTTCTGGTATGGCAGCTCGAACTGATGTACGTACGTACGAAGTTCTACGCTGTGACTGACTGAAATCTCAATGATTGGCTTGCATCCTTTGTTTTTGACTAATCACTCTGGTTTACAACGTTTTTCTGTCAGTCCCTCCATTGTGTCATATAAATGTTTCATATTTCCTTCTCTTGCAGCTTTTTCCTCTTTCGTTCAGCTGTTGTAGATTGCTATCTTCTTGTTCTCCATTTCTTGAATCTTACCCAGAGTGTCAATAGACGGGCTACTCTTAGTGCTAATGTTTCGTGCGGCCCAACAGCTTGAATGTTGAAATTGATTCATTCTTAATCCCTTTCCATTCGTTTTCCATAGTATTTTCCTGTTCTCTGAGTAGGTCTTGTAAGGTTTGAGACTTATTGCTAAGAGCCATCTGGGATTTTAGTTTGCTTCTCTAGCTTATGTTTTAACTTGATCACCATCAGATGATGGTCTGAAGCTATATCAGCTTCTCTCTTTGTTCTTAAGTCTTCCATAGACCTGAACGTCTTAATTATGCAAACGTAGTGGATCTTGTTCTCACTCACACTGATTTCCATTGATTTTCGTTCCTTTTTTATTATACTCATTTCTCTTTCCAATATTCTGCTCTTTTTCGATTCAATATATTTGTGACATATAAAGCTTCTAAATGAGCTCAGTGAAATAAGATATATATATATAGTCTTTAGTTCCATGAGCTATGTAGCTTATTTCATTCATTCGAATAAAGTCAAAACAACAATTGTGGCAGAATAATATGAATTCATTGTATTTTTCAGGTACTTACAGCCATATGTGCATTAAAATATAACATTGAGGTGTGATATATTGTGACACAATAAACATTGATAAGGGAAAGAATTAAATAACAAGAAATATCAATTATGGTTACATATATATTGATATCTATATTTATAAAAACAGGTGTAAAGTCATTTGGAGATGGAGTACATACAACATAGGGAGCGGGTGAGGCAGTAATGAAGTGAAGTCCAGAAATAGATAAGATAGATTGTGTGATAATTCAAAGGTTGTGAAAAGTTTACATAAGATTACAACCATTTTCCAGTATTAGAAGTTAGATGGGTAAGATGTGTACAAAATGAATTGCACCAGCTGCGAGAAATATCAAATTAAACAAAGTAGTCGCCCCCTATACCTATGCCTAAAGAAACAGATTATCAGTGAGGCGACATGGTAAGATATCAATATCAACGGACACAGACAACCGTGGACGCAGATTCGATTGAAGAAGCTTCAACACTTTAGATCAAAGAAATTCCAAAATGCTAGAAAGTTCTTAGAAGCATGGTATTCGAATCAATTAATGATTAAAAGTATATCAACGTAAACTCAGTCTATGAAACAATATGCATGAGGTCATGTAATCAAGATATCCAACATGGATGCAAAGGTAAACAAAGACGACATGGCCTACAAAAACAGTTGATCGCAAACGGGGTCATAAGAATAAACTGTGGAATAATTAAAATACTCACTTCTACATGCAGTAAACACTAGAGATGTCCAGAATAACAATGAAAACTCAAATTAAGCTATCTAGCTCAGAAAAAGCAACCTTTTATATATATATATATATATATATATATATATATATATATATATATATATATATTACTCTGCAGAGGGACCGTAAGTTTGACTTACCTTGTTCGTTAAGGTAACTAATGTGTTGTAGAGTTAAGTAAGTACTATGTAACTTACCTTTTCGTTTTCCAAAATAAATTCCTCTTATTTAATCCCATATCCGTTTAGTATTTGGTGATTTGTGTTCTTTTTTTCTTCAAGACATTCCAAATGCAAAAACATCCAGACCGCAACTGGATTCTAATATTTTTGAGAACGCAATCACATAGATACATAAACGCTGAAGATAATCATTTAACTGAGACCTCTGATACTGATGAATATGATTCAAAATTTAAAATAGCATGGAACAGTACATCGAATAGAGTCCACGTCTTTAGTCCTAAATTGGTGTGGGCTCTTAGAGATGTTAAACATGGAGAACGTTTACTAGTCACTGGATTTCTTTCTTATTATCGATCACGTAAACCTGATGGAACGACTCAAAGAAACTGCTGCGTCACAGCTCAGCGCATCGCTTATATGGGTTGGTCTAATGATTATCAGTCCAGTGAAAATCTAGAGGAAGTTCTTGAAACATAAATTTTAGGAGAAGACTTATCACTATATGTTTCACATCATATATATTTTAATCTTCCAATTAATGCCATCACATCCCTCCAGTGAGTGCCGGCGTATTATTTGATAGTCTTTTTTTGAATAGTTGATTTGTTGCATTTATCCTTCAGGTTCCACTCATTGATTAAGAAGTAATGATACTGTATTTTGAACAGCTGTATCACCCATTGGATTGCTGTTCACTCAAAATAGTTAACAAATCATAATTTCTTACTTAAAAATAAGTATAAATAGTATCTCAATTATGAATGTATATTCTAATCTTGATTTAAATTTAATCAATCAGGTATTGTGCCATCAGTCTGTGGCAACCACTGTTTGACCAGGCATAAAGATATATTACTATTTAAACACATAAATATTGGTACAAAAAAGCACCAGATAAATATGCGCCTCACAAATCTCATTCGATTTGTGTGAGGACTGTGATACTGCCTAGGTGCCCAAACTGAAACAGGTGGTTTTTTAAGGGGCCACGCCCAGAGCCTTTGACCTAAAGGTCTGATCCACAAGGCAGTGGAGCATCGTGAGGAGATGCAGTCTTATGGTAGCCGGTGACCAACGATTGATTCATACGCCATTTGTTCCCTCAGGATACTGGAGCCCATGTGCACCATTGGTTTGGAATCAGGGTTTTCCAACTCCCCTAGGTGAACTTGCCGTGTCCACCAACTCGGTTAAAGCGCCAAACATGCGTTTTTCGTTTTCTCAATTTCGTAAATTACACCCCGGCCACGAGAAGGCAGTAAGTAGGACTTTCCTGGCAAAGGCTATATACGCGTGGCCATGTTAGAGCATTTCGAGAGGGAGAGTGGACTCTACCCACTCTTGGCCGTACCAGGGCATTTGGTGGCAAGAATAAATTAGCGTGGCTAGTATTAGCGAAGTTCGAATTATTATGGTATTAACGATAGTGAAAATAATGAAACATGAAGAATATGAGATTTGAAAAGGACGTGATGAACATGTGAAATAGTACTGGAACTCAGAATCCAGGAGAAAATTATGAGTAGTTAGATTTAAATCAATGAGATCGATTTGGAGATATGTTACGTAAAACCTCCAACCGTCGGCCACAAATATCAAAATATCTAACATCTCAAACCTGTAGTCAGTAACTTAATGGGTTGATGTCACACCTGCAACTTCAGTCGGTATTGTTTCAAAGTTGACAGTTCGATATTCATAACACAAGTCATAGTTACTTTAACCTATATAAATTCATAGCCTATTCAACCGATCCATCACCACTACCTAATACTCTACGTCTAACCTCAATATTGCGTAATCAGTTGTTCCAATGTATGCCAGCCATACTTCTAAAACAGATGATCAAATACTAGTAACCTGTGGATAGTCTTGACTTTAAAGTCATATTTTACAGCTACTAAGTAAAAGAAAGTAAATTTCCGAGTAGTGTAGTCGTTTTTAGATAGGGGGATGAATGTCTTGTTCGTGCTATAAATGGCACAAGTTCTTAGAAATCATGTGAGGTTTGTAAAATCGTGTTGAAGTTCCTTCAGGCATAATCTTATTATAGCTCAACGGTCAGCTGTCAATTACTTCAAACGTGTTGCGTACTCATTGACAGTATAGATTAATGTACTCGACTTTGAGTCACAATTGTTTTGTAAGAGCTGCTGTTAATACTACGGTATACAGATAGAACTAAAGAAGACAGGGCTCGGACCTGGAACCTATTGCTTGAAAGCTAAGCGTCTTGACCATTAAGCCGCCTCTCAAAATTTCACTTCCTCCAGTCAATATTGGCATTAACACATACTTTCCGTGAAACAAAATCCAACATTGATATGGAAATGTCTGCCTCAAGTATTCTAGCGTCTTTATCTAAAGCATCTATAAAACTATTTCATTAGCGTCTTTACTAAATAGAACTGTCATCTGGGTCCGTAAAAATACTGAGTTTTGCAGTATGCTGCGGGAACAAGTATGAATAAATATGCTGAATTAATACATTACTGTGTGATTTTTATTCTTAAAATTATTTACGATATCAAGTAGTTCGATATAATTAACTAGAAGTCGTGTGTTTTTTAAATTCCAATCCAGGCAAACAAAAACTAAACAGTTAATAGAATGTTCAATGAAATGAATCCATTCACAGTTCATAAAATGGGATTGTGCCCTTAATCGATTGTCTATTGTCCAAAAAAATAACGTTTAATCTATACCTATTTCGTTTTAAATCTTGCATGTGCAAATATTTTATTGAAATAAACAAGGAAACTGATTTTTTCCAGTATGTCATTCGACTGAGCATAGATTGTCTCCTGAAACTTCGTAGTAATGGTTAGAATGCCATAATTAGCTGTATTTTTATCACTAATACTTACATTTTAACTGAAAGGTTGAGTATTTTAAATTCGTTTGAGGCCAGTTTTACAAAATGCTGTTTGAAAATATGAATCTATGTTAGATCCAGAGGTTTGCTATCAGTTTAACACAAAATGTAATCAACTTCAGAGTGCATCATAAACCGATGAGTAGATTCACCTCAAGCTTATAGAACAAACTTGAAACGCTTGTGTGTTCCCCACGTATTTCGAAATGACAAATGTTAATTAATAAATAACAACAGTGCAGTGCTTTTTACTAGAACATTCACTGAATAATATCAGCTTCGTTGGCAAGATTTTCAGTGGATTCCAACTTGCTCGATTGTAGGTTCATGACTTATCATGTGATCGAAACAATACTTTTGTACCGAAAAAAAGCTTTCTATCAATTATGGGTATGAATCATTCAAATCTTTTCGAAAGTCGTTTGTCCCCAAAACAAGGTCATACAGTCTCAGTGGTTGTTTTGTTAAATCTGTTAACTGGATTTAAATAACAATAAAATTGATGACGATGCTCTAAGACGTTTTGTCGAGATTTGGTTCAAAGCAGTGAAGTAAACCAGCTCATCAGTCATAACCTGTGTCGCCTTTGAAAATTGTAGGTCAACGAGATTTAAGAAGCTTGGTACAAATAAACCTGTCTTCCTAGCGAGATATCCAGTTACTTGAATGTTGGCGTAGTTGTTGAAACTTTTGGCTCTTAACCATTAGGCTCCATATTCAAACCCCACTGCACTAGGCTACACACAGTGTCGCTCAAAGTCTAGTACACCAGCTTGTGCTTAGTGAGTTACATTTAAAAAATTGTTAGAATGCTTATGCAAGATGGGAGTACGTCCTGTGTGATATATGAAAGTTAAGACTGCAAGATTTAAATAAGTCAATGACATTTCTGTCATGGATAGCATAGCTGGACCATTATGAAGGGTATTGAGGATAAGCACAAACAGCTTGAAAGAAATAAGACTCAACCGATGTCACCCCCTCTTCGACAGTGGATGAGTCAAAACAAAAATATTTCGCTACTTGAGTCGTGTAAGTTGCCTGCCCAGACACTGAGATGTCAAGAGTTATTACATATTGAAATGGAGTGCAACAGTGCGTATGTACTCAATATTTTATTCTTCCTAACTTTTCACAATCCGCGTTGATTTTCTTTGCCCAATTATAAGGTGTAGCAGACTTGATTTGTTCACTTTTGATGAGTTTCTTAGTTTCATTGTATCGCAAGTACAGAATCGTCCTACAATCTTACTATTGATGACTAAGTAATCATTTTTTTATTTCAACATAAGGTAGTTTGACTGGTGTCATTATTTTATCGACCAGATTATCATACGATGGGATTCCAAAATAACCTGAAAACAATAAAGTTAGGTAAATACTTACTTTAGGAATTCGTTTTATTACTTTCGTCAAACTTGTGAAGATACGATGTGGATTTGCGTTTATGGAAATGTTAATCAGTTCGTCTAGTTTACAAATGAAACGATGATCTGATACCAGTTAGCGATCTGTTCCTGGGTTGTAACCATATAATTTTTGAATCCATTAAACCGAAACTGAATAGTAGCCGACGTGGCTATATACTAAGTTATCTTGATAAGAAAATTATCATATACATTCGCACCCAGTATCTTGTCATAGACATAACTTATTATCTAGAAGATGGTTGATTATGCTAGTGCATAGTCTAAACCGAAGCATTACTTGTCGAATAATATTTGTCCCATTTACAGTGATATGGATGATTTCAAAAATGCTAATATTTTTCCATAGGTTTAATAAGTTACTTCTCATAATCATGTGAAACAACCAATCGAATTTGACTGCTTTCTGCAATTTATGCTTATTATAGTAAGTGTAACTGGCGTTTGAATTAGCTAATAACTGCTTGATTTTGAATTCCAAATACATTCGTTCGTGTTTATCTAGTACTTCTTGATTAAATTGCGTTGTTTCTGGGATTACTAGTTTATACCATAATTCAAATGCTCTTAAATATCACAGTACCGCAAATCTTTAGGACGGAAAACTGATGAAGTCTTAAGAAATGCTGTTTTAGTTTGGAGCTTTAGTGGCTACACTAATAATCGTTTCCCCTGACTAGGTTCCAAGGAATAACCAACTTCTGAAAGGAATTATATTAGCTAGTATCTTCTCACCGCGTATTTGATTGCAGAATTGTAATCCCAAAGTCATTATGCTGATCCTAAATTTATTTGTTAGTCGTGATTTGGACTTGGAAGTCATACATAAAAATAGTTGTTTATATATGTTAGTTGATCCAAAAAAGAGAACATTTGCATGCAATATTTTCCGGACTAAAAACTATCTGTGAGGATTGTTGAATTTCATTGAAAACCTAGAAGCACTTAACACCGTGGTCTGGAGGCCAAGCGTTTGCGTGCAAGACTGAAGGTTGTAGGCTCAATTCCCGCTTGCAGATGAGCTTTGTTAAGTCCTTTACTGTCCAGTCCTCTCAGGTCTTCAATAGTCAATAGGTTCATGGTTTCACTGAAAATTATCTTCCGTCAACGACGAGTAAAATACAATCAATGTCAACTTCGAAGTGTTCATTCAACCTTCCATTAACTACCATGTA